TTATTCAAAGTGAAAATTTCAAGACATGTATTGCAGCTGAAACTTCTGAGCTCCTCCTTGAAAACTGCAATCAAGTTTCTAAGTACATGTTGTGGAAATGGGGATCTAAACAGCAGCTTTTCAACATAGGCGCAAGCTCTTGCCTTGGACTCAATTTCAGTAACCCGGAGCCATCCCTAGTAATGACACAATGTGACTCCCCTCAGCATTTGCTGCAGTGGCAATGTCATGGAAAGGCAATTATTGGGGCATCACAGTACAAACTTGCAGTCGAAAAGAGCAAATTTATTGTAGTTAAAAAAATTTCGAACTATGGATGGAAACAGTTCGGGTCGCACGATGACCTTTGTGAACATGCATTTGGAGGTATTTTTTTTTCTAGTCATGCTTCCCTTAATAATCCGGGTGGTGCTTAAATGTGAGGGTTATAAGAATAGCATCTTATAACCATAAGATAGCAATGTGATTAAGATAATTTCTTTTTGCTATCAGCTGGGAGCATCAGCAATCTATACTGCATAGAATTTGAAAATGTGTAAAAATCTCAAATGTTATGCATTGTGCTGGCATAATTATTCCCTTACACGTGATGCTCATCCATATATCCAGGGCCTGGCAGATCGTTAGACATTTTGTGAAATTTCTTCCATGTGAATCAACATTCACGGTATAAAATAAAGTCTGTTTAGTTGTTCAACAGGTCAGAAACAAGTCACAGGATAAAGCAGGCATGAATTCTGGCTTCTTCTTGGTTACATGAGAGGAGCAAAGCAGAAAGCAAATTGTGAAGCTTAGGTAGGCTCACTTCACATAGGGATCTATAATGGGTTGTAAAGTTACAGTAATATGTGAATTGGTTGGGTTTATAACTTCCATGATTAGTAATATGGAAGGGCCAGTAGTTAGCCCACAGCAACATTACCTAAGGGCCTTCAAACTTGGCAAGTTTTAGACTTGTGGACTACAACTTCCAGAATTCCTGAGCTAACATGACTGGAGGAGGAATTCTGGGAGTTGAAGTCCACAAGTCTTAAAGCTGTCAAGGTTGAAGACCCCTGACCTAGATGCTTGGATTTATTGCAGTTATACAGAGTCATGTCAATACAATGTGGGGCTTTTTAAGTCAATTCTACATATCTTTATGCATCAGTTTTACCTTTCACCTTAGTTATCAAGAAAACAGCTGAATCACAAAATACATAGCCATCTTAGGGTTCAGCGTAATGATACAAGAAGACACATTTACAGACGTCTTGCATGTCCTTCTCAAGACTTACGTGTAAAAAAATGCTATAGTATGAAAATGATAACGTGGGAATGACTTTTAAACTTTATATCTGGCTTGAAAATATAGTAATGAACCACTCTTGCTCAGTTTTTTACTTGAGAAATGTTCTAATTGAAGTGTTTGACTCTGAGAATTTATTAAAGGCAATTTGTACTATACCTACAAATCCATGAATATCACATGTCCTGAATTTGCAAAAATACAAATAGCAAATATATTAATTATGTAGCAATAGGCTTATATTGTAATGAATATGTTAGAGTTTAAGATATTACTATTGCAGCAGGCTTCTATGGTTGCTCTTTTGGTCAGTCTTATTAACTGACATGGCAAATGCTATTATAAAAATTATCAAGTGCAAATCAAGTTGTTGTTATCATGATGTAAGCCTTATTAAAAATTGATAGAGCAGAGTCCTTCCTTTCAGTGAAAGTACTTTTACTAATGCAAATCACAAAACTATTATGATACCAGATTCTTTTTTGGGGTGAGGTGCGGCAAGAATATCCATTAAAGGTTTTTATACCTTTTCAATTTTCTTTCCAAATGATATATCAGCAGTATGGTACTTTATTCCATTCAGAAATATATACCCTGTTGGGAAATTCCCTTGGTTTGCCTTGTGTTTTTCCATTTAAATACAACAATAAATGGCACTATGAATGTATCAGAGATTTCAGAGAAGATGGATATCGTTGGTGTGCCACAACAAGCCACTATGAACAAGATGAAAAATGGGGATTGTGCCCAAATTCTGGTATGTAGCAATTAATACACTGCTTTATTTGTTTATAGCAATGATACATGTATTGGTCTGAGGACATTAGACTAATAACTGGAATAGTAGTTGTGGAATGGAGATGTATATTTCCTAATTAATAGTTCAAAATAGCTCAATTTGCTGAATTGTTCAATTGTATTAGTCACTGATATTATTAAAAGTTATTTGAGGTATGAGGATAATTTTGAATTTCAGAGTGCCCAACTTAGTTTTGACATCAGAATATGGAAAGTATCCCCAAATGTTAATTTCCGATGAAAAGATGGCCAACTGACTACATGCCCAGGGAAGGATGCATGCTAAGAGCAAGTTAAAAAAGATGTATTAGAATGTTTTAATTTTAGAAAAGCTTAGTGCTTTAAAATGGATGAAAAAATATTTTCCCTTTAAGGTTAAAGAATCTAAAAAACTACAGTGAATTTTGTTAATATAAATGGTGATAGTTTGTAAAAATTAAGTGCAAATAGAAATACATATTATTTCATCAGCAAGAAAGATAAAGTAGTAATGGTTAAATTGATTTTTCTATTCAAAAAGGAGAATATGTTTTTTTATTTGGATATCACTTCTGGATTTTGTGCTTGTGATGAAAAAAAATGAAACTGAGTTTGATTTTGCCAGTTAGATAGATTTGTTGTTACAGAAATGGCTACTTATATACTAATGTGTAAAAGAAAAAAGTTGAGCTTGTAATGTTAACTTGTAGTGTGCTAAAAAGAATCAGAAATCAATGCCATTTTCTTTCTTCCCTTGTACCTCATATTTTCTTTCTCCCTTTCTTTTTCCTTCACTTCATTTCCTATTTATACTTTTCTTTGTATTTTACACATTGATAAAACAATAAAAGTTATATTAAAAAAGAGTATGGAAAGTATACTCATAGTAATATCATCTTAGCATTTCCACTTTTCCACTAGGTGTTAATTAATCTAGATTGTTACATTAGGAGTGTTATGTTTCTTAATGACTTTGTAATATCATGCTGTCTTTTCTTCACAGGGTCTGGCTGTGATATTTTTTGGAAGATAAATGCAGATACTCAGATTTGTTACCAGATCAATCTTCGTTCTGTTCTCTCCTGGAATGAGGCACGTGTTGCATGTCAGGGACAAGGAGCAGATCTGTTAAGTATCACAGATATGAGGGAACAGAAGTATATTGGTGGTCAAATTGGTAAGTTTAAAAGTCTTTAAGTAAAGTCTGGAATATAAGAACTTTCAAGGAAGCCCCAATTATTCTGGTTCCTGTTTAGGTAATCTTATTGGTTGAGTTCATGAATGATACTAAAATAATACTAAATACCAACTAGTGAGTTAAAAGGGACGTGGTGGCTCAGTGACTAAGACGCTGAGCTTGTCAATCAGAAAGGTCGGCAGTTCGGGGGTTCGAATCCCTAGCTACGGAAGGGAGTGAGCTCCTGTTATTTGTCCCAGCTTCTGCCAATCTAGCAGTTCAAAAGCATGTAAAAATGTAAGTAAAAAAATAGGGACCACTTTGGTGCGTTCCATGTGCCTTTGCTGTTTAGTCATGCTGGCCACATGACCACAGAGATATCTTTGGACAGTGCTGGCTCTTCAGCTTTGTAACGGAGATGAGCACTGCCCCATAGAGCCGGAAACGACTAGCACGTATGTGCGAGGGGAACCCTTACCTTAACCAGTCAGTTTGGAAAGTAGTTAGGCTCTTAGAGATGCGACATCTCATGAGAGTTGATTGGCATCAGGTTGAAAAAAACCCAGAATTGAACACTACATGAATGAGCAACAGAGACTTTTAGATTTGCAAATTCTTTTTTTCCTGCAGTCTATTGGTTATGGAAATTATTTGGTTGAAGGGCACACATGTATTTTTCTATCTAGCTTCTGTGGTCCACTGGGGCTGCAGTCTTAATTGCTAGTTGATTCAAAAGGACACATTGCATTTTCTTCATTTTCTCAACTGATTTCCCATCCTTTTTCCATTTTCCAGACATTTTCCTCAACAGCAGCTTAATTTGGAGCTGAAGACAGTGGGTTTTTAACAGGAAGTTACCCATTTCGCTTTACTTTGTCACCTCTATTTTTTTGGCCTTCTATGATTCTTTTTTCCAGATTACATTCTGGATTGTGGACACATGGATTACATTCTGGGAACAATTTAGAACAGTGTTTTTCATACTTGTGGACTTCAGTTCTCCAAATTCTCCAAACAGCATGGTGTCTGGAGAATTTTGAGAATTTAATTTTGGAATTGTGTGGCATTGAAGTTCACACATCTCAAAGTAGCCAAGTTTGAAAAAGTGAAAAACACTGATTTAGATGAAAAGATTAGGTACAGTTGTCTGGGGTAGGTTAGCTGTGCATGCTAAGCTGGAGAAAAGGGCTTATCCTTTTTTGGTTGGAGCAGCTCTGTTTAAATTACTGCTTGTCAACTCTTGAAGTCCATGAAATAAACAATTCTTTCGAAATCATCTGCAGTTCCCTGCTTTGGCTCATTTCTATTTTGCACAGTTGACATGGTAAAGAGAGTAAGAAAAAGGAAGAAACAATCCAGATGTTTTCTGATCATAGATTGCTGATTTCTACATCTGCTGCAGAAATCTCACTTGGCAAGGGAGATCCCTGCATTCCATTGGTTTAAACCAGGGGTCTTCAAACTTGAAAGCGTTAAGATTTGTGGACTTCAACTCCCAAAGTTCCTCCTCCAATCATCTTACCTCAGGAATTCTGGGAGTTGAAGTCCACAAGTCTTAAACTTGCCAAGTTTGAAGACCACCGGTTTAAACATTCACGACTTGCATTATTGAGAGTAAGCTGTGGTATCTGAATGGCAACCTGTTTATGAGTGTTTAATATATTTTACAGAGCAAATGAACACAAAAGAAGCGATGGTATGGACAGGCTTAAATCAACTGGATGAAACTGCTGGCTGGCAGTGGTCAGATGGTGCACCTCTGGCTTTGGTGAACTGGCAAATGGGTACCATTTAGATTTATTACAGTACTGTTATGTACGCCTATTGCAACTAAGATCAGTAATCAGCTGGCAATGTACTAGCCAGAGAGGGATTAGGAAAACCATAAGCTCAGTCCTATAGATCAGTGGCCCCCAACATTTTAGGTACCAGGCACCACTTCCGTTTAGGGCAGTTTTTCCGCAGACTGGAGAGGAGCATGGCTTTACAAGTGCCTGGATTCTGTGCATACACAGATGGGCCTTCACTTGCTTGTGCTGCCTGGTTCCTGGTGGGCCACGGACTGGTGCCAGTTTGTGGCCCAGGAATTGCGGACTCCTATTATAGATTTAGTGAATCAGCCAATTTTCTGTCTATTATAGAAAAAAAATGGCTGCTTTCTGAAGACAGGCAAATGTCTCACACAATTCACCTGACAGATTGATATTGTATAGTTTAGACAAGGTGTCTAATATTTTTTCTTCTTTCTCTTTCTTTTAAAAGACATATCTCAGAATATCTTGCCCCTTGCCTCCCTGCCACATTTTTGAGTACAAAGAGCCAATGAAAGGAATGCTACTGACATGATTTGAGCGCTGCATAGTCTTAAATATGAAAATATCTTCCTTAGGATATATAAAATAGCATGTTAGAATATTTGCACATCTTAACATGCTAAAAAGGGCCTTTTTGCTGTTCTTGAAAAATTGGATGTGCTCTATGTGTTCAACAAAATGGTATATTATGAATTATTCAGTATTATTGAATAATTAAGGCTACATGCAGTCTTTGAATTACAATCCACAAAATAAACATGAGCTGTGAGAGGGCAGGATGATAGATTTTATTAAATGCATACTATGACTTCTAATTTGAAACTTTTGTCATTTTCTCTCTATATATGGCAAACTTGTAACATTATTCCTTGAATGTGATTTTAAAATGCATGCTAATGTGCAAGAGAGAGATGCAGTTTGCTATAGTGGTTAAAGCATCAAGCTAGACACAGTTCTAATCCCTCCTTAGGCTCAAAACCAGCTCGGTAACTTTGAGCCAGTCACTCTCTCTCTCATCCCTAGGAAAGGAGGCAATGGCAAACCACTTCTGAAAAACTTTACCAAGAAAAATGCAAAGACTTGTCCAGGCAGTCTCCAAGAATCAGACATGACTGAATGGGAGAGAAAAAATGCAGAAACTGAGTTCACAGATTTTTTAGACAAATATGCCCATGCTATGGGCATTGTGCATTTAACCTTTAAAATCAAGGTCTACAAAAACTTGCCACAGCCAATTCACCACCGCCAACCCACTACAGCCAACTTGCTGTGGCCAAACTCAACACACCAACTCTCTATGGGGCTACTCGCCGCAGGACAAGAGTTACACTTGTATTGAAGAAATAGTGAAATAGAATCATTAAAGAAAGGATGCCAAAGGAGAGATAAAATTAAATGTGAATGACAAAAATGTAAATATTTTTAAATTATTTTAAATTATCAAATTGGATTGTTGAATTGTCCCACAGCAAGTTGTCCCGTGGCAAGTTGACCCACAATGAGTTGGCCATAGCGGTGAGTTGGCCTTGGCGAGTTATCCCATTCTGTTCAACATTCATACAATAAACTAAGAATTGACTACTTTAGTCAATAATTCAGTTTTGATATCAATCTATTATCAAAAGTTGAACCCATAATTGATTTGGAAGTTGCTCCAGTTTCAGGCATTGTTGTTGTTTTGTTGTTGTTGTTATAGGTAACATGGTTTGACAATGACTAGTAATGCCAGAACTCTTGAATCATCCTTCCATATGTCATCACACAAGAAATCTCAGTGTATATTGTAAGAATACCTGAGGGATGGTATGATGACTGTGTGTTCTATGCCCAGAAAAACATGTTACTGCTTGAGAGTCCCCTGTCAATGGGGGCTAAAAGTTACAGACTTTTTCCTGTTACTATGGTATTTTCTCTGAGTATTTTGCTTCTTTTTGTAAAGATATAAATTATTATAAAACTCTGTTTGCAGATCCCATTGACAGTTCTTTAGGACCACCTCGTTGTAAAGCCTTTAACTTAAAAATACAAAATGATTGGCCAAGTTACCCATGTGAATCTGGACTACCATATGTATGCAAAAAATACTTAAATGCTACTGCCCATGAAGCAATTGGTAAGTTGCTACTATCAATGTGTTGTAATTTTACTCTCTAATTCTATTTGCAATAAAATGACATTTCTATTATGCATTAGTGCATGATGGGATTTAAACAGTTTGATATCTGGTATTTATGCTCTGGATGCAAAGAAATAATAGGAGTACAGAGTGTAGCCCCCATATTTTTAAATTAATGAAATAAACATTGATGCTGGTGGACTATCTAAGGATTCTCTTGTGCCATTTTGAAGCCATAAAACATACTTTTTACAATCAGAAATGAAAGTTGCCAAAGGATTTTCTTCCCATCTAGTCTGGTGGATTTCAGAAGTAAATAACTCATATTTATATTACTTAAACTCTAGTGAAACATACAGAGTTACTTAAGGATTCCACATAAAGGAAATATACCAGCAGTCTGAGCTTCTTAATAGAAATCCATAAAGAATAGTCAGCTCTGCTAAGCATTTTTGAAGTTTGGCTCAACAAAGAAGTACTTATTCTGCATGCCAAGGGTTCAGAGTGAATGTTACAGTTGATTTATATGTGTATATGTTTGTATATCTGAGAAATGAAATAATAATACTCTTCAGTGGAAGCATATTGTAATTTCCAAGAATGCCCTCATTTTTTAAACTATGTGATTGTAATTTAGGAATTGCCTAATATTAGATATAGCCCATGAAAAAAAAAAGATAATGTTGGCTTGTCCACCTTTTATTAAAAAAAAATGGGTACCAATGTATAGTTTCCTAAACTAGTATCCAGAAGGGGGAAGAAAGCTGAAAACTCTGATAAGATCTTATGTAAAACTATCAAATCTTGTGAAGTTTAATCTCAGCAATTTTATTATCTTATTTTTGGGGAACTAAATGATATTGCATCACCAAACATAATAACTAGTTAACTGTTATTGTTGTTGTTATTTACCTCAAAAAAATCCTTTTTGAGTGGTTAGTCTGTAGTCTGTATTCCTGAGTCTATAGACATTAATGGCAACCATTCCAAAATTAAAATGTTAACCAAGAAATATCACTTCATGATCATACACAATTTTATTGTTTTCTCAGACAGAGTCTTGGCTTTTACATATATAAATTAATATGTAGATAATTTCCCTAATATAAATTTAGAACAATATTTGGTCCTGTTTTGGAGCATATTGTATACTCACAAACCACCCTCTTTTCATAAGAAGTAAAATAAAAATGTTAATTATAAATATATGATTACGATAATGACCACTTAACTTTAACAAAAGTATTGCCCAAACATGGACTTATTTTTCAGTCACAGACTCCAGTATGATTTATAGTTAAGCCTATGGGTTTTTAAGAAACAAATTGCAACAAAAAATTCTTAAAGGCTAGATGAATTTACTGTCATATAAATGTTTGTGAACTACATATTATCAGGCAGGTTAATAGTATAATAAATTATTGTTCAAATATTACAACCTTATTGCTTGTTCTGGCTTTTAATTTGCATTTAAATGTGTATTTTTTCATTGTTACTCATAATGCACATATCTCAACAACTTTCACTGAAAATATGTTTTTTAAATGTACTTGTGATTGAATGATAATGATACAAGATTTGGAAGGTGTGAGCATCAGTTGTAATCAAGTTTCAATTTGTTCATTACCTACAGAGCGTGGATCAAGTCATTGTGATGAAACTTTATAAAGATCAAATTTCCGAAAGATTATATTGCAGTTTTTATTTGTGTAATTGCACATTCTTATTCTGATTTTATAACACTTTTGCTCTTGTATTTTTATATATTAATACATTTTTATTTTTGCAAAGAAAAATAGAAAATAATATGAAAAAGCTAATGTTGTCATATACTATATGTGGAATAAAATTATATAAAACCAGGAGATTTTTCAGTTTGTTAATATAGCTGGTTTTTTTTATATATTTTAATTAAAAGATTCCTGGAAATTTTATCCTACTGACTGTGACAGTAATTGGTATCCATATAATAATTACTGCTATAAACTTCATAAAGAAGAAAGGAGCTGGAAGGAAGCATTTTTCTCCTGCCAGGATGATAATAGCACACTCATTAGCATAACCTCTTTGGCTGATACAGAGATGCTTATTAACCTCCTTGAATACGGTAAATTTTTATAATTAGTTGATATTGAACATTGTCTTACCATATAGGCAGTTTGCATTTTTAAAGCGTCTCTTAAGAAGGGGTTTTGTTTTAATTTGAACTACAGGAGTAGAATCTTACTGAAGTTCTTTTGGAACTTTTCCTCAAGGTTCAAAAGTTAGTATCATTAGTCAGCTTTGAAAAGTTCAGGAACAGCAATCTTGTAACTTGATAGTGTCACACTGAGAAATTCCCAACTGCTCTGCACCATCATTGGCTCCCCAACTCTCAAAAGTAACAGTAGGAAAAGACTTGATGCTGAGAAAGATGGCTTGAATTGGAGATGATAACCCCTTGAGAACATGATGCTCGATCATGATCCATTAAACTTGGAGTAATGGGGTTGTGTAAAGTATTATCCATTATAACATTAGTACCAAAATATAAATCTGTCATTGAAAAGCCCCAGGACAACTGATGCACAATCATTTTTAACATTCCATTTATTTCTAGTGGACATATTAATATAATCAGCACCCTGGATATTTGTTTTTTATGTATCACATTTACATCTCAGCTTGAATCAATAAGGAAATTGTGGACCTCCAGATATTGCAGAATCACAGTTTTCATAAGGATCAGTTAACATGACCAATAATGAGAGATACTGGGAACTATAGATCAACATCTGGTGAATCACAGTTTCTCAATCCCTAACTTTGATTGCCCAGCCACTTTTTGAAACAAGAGTATGAAAAAATAATTTAACTGAAATTACCTCTAGTGAATATAAAGTCTCAACAGTCTTGATAGACTCAAAGCAAGGTGGGCTTGGTAGTTCATAAAATAATTACAAGCCACGTTGTCTTTATGTTATTCGCTATATAGGGTTTCCTGCCTGAGCAGGGCGTTGGACTAGAAGACCTCTAAGGTCCCTTCCAACTGTTATTCTGGGTTTTTTTTTTAAATAGCTGCTATTAAAAAACAACACTGAGAATATGCTACAAAGCACATGTTTGCAATGGGCATTTTTGGGACATGTTTGATGACTTTGGCCAACAGAATACTATTGACTTTTGACAAGATACAGGAGAACCCATGTAATGCTGACAAGTCAAGAAAAGAAATATTTACAATATCATGAATCTATAGGGACAGGAGGGATGAGCAACAAGTGGTCTCAGAGTCATTTTCAAATTCTCTTTTTGCAGTCTCATTTTTTTCAGATTCAGTCACCGTGCTATCACCTACTATTGTTAAACCTAGTTAAAGTGTGCACAACTTTTTAAAAATCTGCTATTCGTCAAATGTTATCTACTTTTTCAAGTTGTATTAAGATGCATTTAATTATCTTCTGTAGAAAACGTAACAGACACTTGGATTGGACTAAGCTGTAATAAGACTCCTGTTGAGTTTGAATGGTCTGATGGATCTGCCGTAATTTTCACCTACTGGAATAAACAAGAACCAAATATTCTTCAGAAGAAAGGACAAATTTGCGTTTCAGCTCAGCAACATGTATGATTTTTTTTTCTTTTTAAAATAATTCAGTGAATGAGTTTGGATGTTACGCATCTATGTGTTACATGTGTGTTTGTGTGCTGTGTATATTACAGCATATCATGAGCCTTCTGTATTTGATGATGTTCAATATAGCAATAGCACTTAGACTTATATACCGCTTCACAGTGTTTTACAGCCCTCTCTAAGTGGTTTACAGAGTCAGCCTATTGCAGGCATGATATTCTTCCGATTAAAATCGGAATTCCGATTTTTTTGGGAATCGCCCCCTCCTTTTCCCCCACCCCTTCTTCTCCTCCTTCCCCTCCCCTCGGAGGCCCCGAGTCAGGAGTTGCTGGCGCGGCTCTGCGCGGCTCCAGTCTCGCGTTGCCTCAGGAAGGGAAAGGCAAAAAGGAAGAGCCATGGCGGCGTTTTGCAACGGCAGCAGCGGCTCCTGGTTTTGCCTTTCCCTTCCCGAGGCAACGCAGGACTGGAGCCGCGTGGAGCTGCGCCGGCGGTAGCAACTCCTGACAGCCCCAGCCGGATACCTGAGCGGAGCCCGGGCGGTGTGAGCGGAGGCCGCTGAGTGGCAGGAAAAGGGAGCTGGGCCAGCCACAGACCAGCTTCCATGCAACACGCCGCCGCCCGGCCCTGGCGAGGGAAGGCAGCGGGCGCTCCCCGGGCTCGCGGCGGGGGGTCTCTTTTGGCCGGCCCCGATTTTTTTTTCAGAGCGGAATATCATGCCTGCTATTGCCCCCAACAATCTGGGTCTTCATTTTATCCACCTTGGAAGGATGGAAGACTGAGTCAACCTTGAGCTGCTCAGGATCAAACTCCTGGCAGTGAGTTGAATTAGCCTGCAATACTGCATTCTAACCACTGCTCCACTGTGCTGGCACAACTCATATAAAACAATTACTTTTGTGCATACAACAATTAGTAACAAAGCAGTATCTCTGCACAGCTATCTCACCCATCTGATCCATAACTATTAGTATAGTCATCTTTTTCCATGCAGAGCAATCAATTTCTCATTTCATTGCTTTCTCCATACTATATTATCTCAGGCCTTTGCATGTTCCATTTACCTGTTCTTTTTCAGACTCATTATTTCAGGCAAGTTTGTTTCACAGCCTTTCCCTTGCTCGCACATTGAATTTTTCCAAAGTAATTTGCAAAAAATGCCAATGTTCATGTTTTTTTCTGATTTGGAAGATATCTTGATAAATATTCTATGATATCACACAATAGTTCTATGAATTATTGAGACCAATATATAGCAGAAGTGGAAAGCAGTTAACTATTTTTTGATTAGATAAGCTACAGAAAGATAATACATTTATATTTTAGTTTTTGGTGTTTTTATTATGCAAATTTTTATTTTAATACAATTACAGTCCACTTAAAAGGTCTACCTAGCTGTGAAACAGAGCCCACTCATACACTAAATAATAGGAGAATATAGATGATCTAAAGATATTAGTAGTACCCTCAGTCTAATGCGTATGAGTAAAGCACCTGAAATTTATTTATGCTTTAAATTTATTGGCCACTCAAATAAGTAAGCCTTTCTGAAAAAAATAAAGATACTTGCGCTATTTCAGTTGTTTTTCTGTTGTAATTCTATGCTCTTATTGTTTTTAACCAGGAAGGACGCTGGAAAGTGAAAAATTGTAAAAGCAGATATTTTTATATTTGTAAAAGAAGAGGGAATATAGGCAATCACGTTTCTGAAGTGGAATCAGGCTGTCCAGAGGTAATATTTAAATATGGGAAGTGTTCAACTATAGTTTGATAAGAGTTAAAGCACCTTTTGGAAATATCACACTTCTTTTGCATTTATAATATATGCATATTACGTACAAAAGTAAATTGTACTGGGATCAATAGAATGTATTCCCAAGGTAAAAATAGTTTCTTCGTTGTCATTAATCAGTCTGCTTAATAGAATCAGCAATCTTTGTGCTAGGCATCTTTCTTGGATGTTTTGGGCTCCACTATAGAATAAAAACATCTTACTGGAGGCACAGGCTGGCTTTTAGGATGGGCTAACAGTTAACCAATATCTAATAGCAATAGCACTTTGACTTATATACCACTTCACAGTGCTTTACAGCTCTTTCTAAGCAGTTTACAGAGTCAGCATATTGCCCCCAACAATCTGGGTCCTCATTTTACCCACCTCAGAAGGATGAAAAGCTGAGTCAACCTTGAGCCTGGTGAGATTCGAATTGCCAAATTGCAGGCAGCCGGCAGTCAGCAGAAATAACCTGCAGTACTGCACTCTAACCACTGTGCCACCGTGGCTCGTGGCATGACATCCACTGAGAAAAGGATTAACTGATTTTATATTAGTCTGACTCAATTCCAAGGAATATATTATGGAGGAAGTTTGAAAATTCCACAATAGATTGCTGGCTTCTTATGCTCATTATGAATCTGTATGAAGGATCACTATCCCCTCAGGGCATCTAAAATGTGTTTTTTTTCCCCCAAACCCAGGAAGAAGCAGGGCTATATATTAAGCTTCTCTCTCTTTAATTTCCATATTAATCTGTTGATCAAAGCAGTTTCTGACTCCAGTTTCTGTCCTCCAGTTATGTCCTATTGAAAGGTTACCTCTTTGTTGTATGCTGAGGTGGGTCTCTATGTTTAGTTACTGTAGAGCTGAAGATCAGATAAAAGTCCTTTGCCTTTTACTACTTTGAAGAAAAAATGTGCCAACATTTATTCTAAGATCAAAAGCTACGGCTTTTTTTTCTAAATGCTTAACAAAACATAGCTGGTAGATTGATAGATGTTAAGTCAGATGCAAGTTAAATATACAGCTGTGTTGGTGTTGCTTTCTGGTAGCCTTGATTAAGTATATCAGAGACTGTTGCTCAGAAATATATGGCTGCAATTTCAGGTGTTTTTCCCCTCCCCAATGAGGATTTACCTATTACCTCTACAATTTGAGCCTTCCAGGGCAAGGCAGTCATAAAACTGCTTTATGAAAGACAGACTTGCATGGACAAGGCTTTTTCCATGCTAGGAGCAAAGTTATATTTGTGGTTCCTTATTGTGTACCTAGCGCTGTCTGACATGTGGAGGCAGAATCTTTTGCAATGGAAGCACAAATGGAAATCAACAAAATCAGTTGCTGGCTTCAAATATCTGTCCCCAGGGCCTGACCTCCTTGATTCTATTGGATGACTTTTACTCAAGTTGGAAAAAGACTTTCGAGACAAAAGTACACAGCAGTTGTCTGTCTGCCTTAGTTTTGCAATCCTTGGATTTCCCCCAAAATAAAGAAGCCATAAGAGAGCAACTGATGGATATTTTTTTATAAGCAATCTCTCCATTTGCTTTGAGGAACAAAATTTAACCAAAGCTTTTCTTTTTCCCAGCTAACTATCCCTCTTTAAGGGTTTCACCTTAGTTCATTTCAATGCTCTATCTTTAGCTTCATTGGAAATAAGATACTGCCAAATTTCCTTTGAGGAAAGGTTTTGCCCTTGTAATTTTATGGAAAAAATTGAAACTGGTTCATATCCAGTTATACTGTCATTTAAAAATAATATTCATTGTTTTTAATATAGCCCTGATTTTAAGTATGTTTCCTTGTATTTTAAGGGTAATTTATATCTCAATTTTCACTAATTCTAATAATGATGTTCCTTTTATAATTGAGAATTTTTTCTTTAGAACTTGTGCTACTAGAAAACAAATTATAAAACTGGCAAGTATTTTTTGTTTTGTTCTTCTATTTACCCACAAGAGCTATATTCTGTCTTTTGATTCACTTGCTGAATATAAAGACAGATAGAATAGCTCTACAAATTCTTTCATACAAAGTTTCTTTTATTGGATTATATTAGGTATTCTCAAGGTGACTCACGGTTATGTCGAGATGCATCTAATGTCCAGTGAAAGAAACTTTGTATGGAATAATTTGTAGAGTTATTCTATCTGTCTTTATATTTAGCAAGTGAATCATAAGACAGAATAGTAAATGATATTAATCTTTCTATCCATGATATTAATCTTTCTATCCCATAGTCGCAGAGGCAGGGGGCAGGCAAGAGTGAGGGAGCCCCTCCCAACCCAACAAGGGTCAATTTAGTGACCAATCAGGATTACAGATGTGGCCACATGACATGGACTACATTTCCCAGGATACCTTAACTACATTTACCATGATGCACTCCCTTAAGGGGACAGCTCTCAAATCCTAACTATCCCAAATCCCATTAACTCTAAACTGTCTGGACAGCACAAGCTGTTCATCGTTATCATAAGATTATGCAAGTGTTTTAGTTTATTCTGTTACTGAAAGCAGTGAAAGCAGAATCACTGAAAAATTTATCTGTGTTTTATCACTCAGTGAAAAAAGAAATTTAAATGTGCACAAAGTTGTTTAATATGTTTACAATTCTAATTTCTAAGTAAATTGCTTAGTATAATATATATCCACACTCCAGAGCCAGTATTTGTTCCATAATTAATCTTCCAGTTACATAATTTGTTGAACTATAAGGACTGCCAACTTGAGGGATCCATTTGGATTGGCCCATACCACTCATGCCGGCAGAGGAGGAATGCCGTGTCTCTTCAGCCCAATTATTCCAGCTGGTAGGGTCTAGCAGGTGGGCCTTCTCTGCTGTTGCTCCTGCCCTCTGGAACATCTTGCCCCTCGATGTGAGGTTGGCCCCAACCCTCCTATCTTTTCATAAAGGCCTAAAGACCTGGCTGTGCCAGTTGGCCTGGAGCCCCAGTGGGGGAACAGCACAATGGAGGTGACTGATTGAGTAATAATCCCACTTCCCACCCCCATTCTAACCCTGCTTTCCCCACGTGTCCTTAATTTTAATCTTCGTTTTAATTTCTTTAGGTTTTAATGGGTATGTATTTTTTATGCCTGTAAGCCTCCCAAAGTTACCCCATGGTAAGATGGGTGGCCAGTAAATTTTATAAACAAACAAACAATAAATAAACGTATTCCTACATATACAGAAATGCCTGTTTGCTTTAATGGTTAAAAAAAAACAGCAATTCTTTATTGAAGTAGACAAGTAAAGTCCTTTATTTGTAATTGCTCAACATACTGGATCATTTAAGAAGCTATGAATTGAAGTCTTAAAGTTTCTTCCTAAAACGCATTTTGTGGATCGCTTGCTTTGTCTTTGACTGAAGTTGCTATATCTTTATGCTTCAGAAGAAGGACTTTTGTAGACCATTTGCAGAAATAATAACTTTTAGATAATGTTTCATAGTTGTCTTAGTTCTAGAGAATGTCAGTATACAAAGTGTTTATTTCTTTGATATGGTGAATTAACTTTTTCACTGTTGCATTGACATTCTTTTCATGATTGAGGATGCTGCTGATTTTTCTCTTTGAAAGAAAAATTATTGCTATTATTAAATTATTGCTATTATCTAAACCACTGAGCTTGACATATTAAGCTAATAGAATAGAATAGAATAGAATAGAATAGAATAGAATAGAATAGAATAGAATAGAATAGAATAGAATAGAATAGAATAGAATAATTTATTGGCCAAGTGTGATTGGACACACAAGGAATTTGTCTTGGTGCATATGTACATAAAAGAAAGATACATTCATCATCATAAGATACGATACTTAATAATAGTCATAGGGTACAATAAGCAATCAAATCATACTAGGAAACAGTCAATAAAAATCATTAGGACACAAGCAACAAAGTTTCAGTAATACAGTCATAAGTGGGAGGAGATGGGTGAAAGGAAGGATGGGAGGATTAATAGTAATAGTAATAGTAATACAGACTTAATAAATAGTTTGACAGTGTTGAGGGAATTACTTGCTTATCAGAGTGATGGCGTTTGAGAAAAAAAACTGTTCTTGGGTCTATAACATTTTGAGGGTAGGAGTTGAAACAGTTTATGTCCAGGATGTGAGGGGTCTGTAAATATTTTCACAGTCCTCTTTTTGACTCATGTAGTATACAGATCCTCAGTGGAAGGCAGGTTAGCAGTAATTGTTTTTTCTGCAATCCTAATTACTCTCTAAAGTCTCTGTCTGTCTTGTTGGGTTGCAGAACCAAACCAGGCAGTTATAGAGGTGCAGATGACAGGCTCAGTAATTCATCTGTAGAACTATATCAGCAGCTCCTTGGGCAGTTTGATCTTTCTGAGTTGGTGCCGAAAGAACATTCTTCGTTGTGCTTTTTTGATGACATTTTTGATGTTAGGTCTTGTTATATGATAGAATCTAGAAATTTGAAGGTCTCTACTGTTGTCTAATATTGAAAGAGGTGGTAGTACAGGAGGGTTTCTCCTAAAGTCTACCACCATTTCTATGGTTTTGAGTGTGTTCAATTCCAGATTGTTCCGGTCAACCACGAGGCAAGTTGTACAACCTCCCATCTGTATGCGGATTCATCATTGTCTCGAATGAGACCAATCACTGTTGTATCATCTGCAAACTTCAGTATTTTAACAGATGGATTGTTTGAGATGTAGTCATTGGTATATAGGGAGAAGAGAAGTGGAGAAAGCACACAGCCTTGGGGGGCGGGGCTGTGCTAATTGTACATGTATCAGATATGATTCTGCCTAGCTTCATCTGCTGCTTCCTGTCCTTCAGCGTGCTCAGTACAATACTTAACAGCCCAAGTAGTCACCATAGAATAAATTTAAATAATGTCTGTGACAATTGACAATAATTATATCACTACAGATATTTCTCACCACATTTTCATTCAATATCACTTGACCAACATTGAGCGGTGTGGTAGCCTAGAGGTGGATCTCTTGCTTCACAATCAGGAGGGTATGAGTTTGATCCTAGGTAGTGGCAGTTATTTCTCTCTCTGGGTACAATGAGTACTTGTCTGCTGTGAACTACACATAGGCTTCAGGAAGAGCATCCAGCCAGTAAATGCTCAAGCTCCATTCAGTCACCCTGACTCCATCCTGATGCAAAGGATCCTAGGATCGTTTTAAAATATATATATATTTGTCCAACATTGATTTATTAGCTCGAATCCCTTATTAAATGTTGAATTACTGCTACAGAAAAGTCTCTAACCAATGTAAAAAAGTGGGCCCTATTGAACATTCCAAAACCCAGAGTTCCTTGGGTAGTGAGGTGGGCAGCATATAAATTTAATAAACAAGCAAGTAAAACCAATTCTATTATATTCCCAGTTGAAGATTGAATGCTGTTTTGTGGCACAACCATGTATTTTGAGCTCCATACCCATGTATGGAGGAATTCTTTTCAAACCAACTACTCCTTATTCTTTTTAGTTTTTCCTCAGAGTCATTTTGGGAAAGGTCTGGATTGTAGAAAAAAGTTGAACTGCATTTCACTAATAAAAGAGGCAGAATGGGTCTCACCAAGGAGTCTGTGGGCCATGTCATTTCTGCTTCATAAAATGAGACGGATATTGTTATATATCAAATTCCAAGGGTTCCTTCTACTTTAATGTTAAAAACCAATTGGCTGACAGTTAGTTTAATTTTGATTTCAAGTACAGACCATCAGGTTTAGATAGCCCTTAAATTAATTGCCGATGATGAGAGTCAATCCTTCCTTCATAATATGTGGTTGTTTTCATTTGCTCTTGACTTCAGAAAATTGCCAGGATTTATTTGTCTTTACAACACTTCTGATGAATTGATGATCCTGTATCTTTCTTAGATATTGCAAGCAAAGGGCTTATTGCTCAGATGGCCGTGTGCCATGTGATTTTATTACTAATTCAACAACTCCTCTTTTTTTTGTCCTTCTAATCTATAAACTGCTAACAGAGAGCAAATGTTTTGTTACTGAGGTCAAATTCCTTAAGCTAGCTGTCTAAACACACTGCAGCAATGATGATCAACCCATTCCCCCAAGCCTTATTTTGGAATTATATCATGAAGCTGTCATTTTCCTGACAAAGAAGAAAATAAGAAATGGTGCTTACAAACCTAACAAAATTGGATTAAATGGAAGGTCACAGTATATGGCATCATTTGAAATGCCAGTATTTCATACAAGTAGCTCAGCCTCTAGGCAGCTAAATCCATGAACATCCACAGATCTTAGTTAATTAAACAGAGCCAATAACAAAATAACTTGGTTATGATTTACATGCTTTGGTGTTCTGAAGGGTATATATGCTGTTGCTCTGAATCTGAAACACAAAGCATCTTAAGCTGGAAGAAAAACCTCTACACAAGCATTATGACCAAATGCTAGATTAAATCTATAACAATGAAGAAATGTTTATATGAATTGTTCATTGTTTCTAATCCTGATATACTTTTGCTTTATATTTAATAGAACTGTAGCTTTTAATTCAACTGCTAAAAATCATCCTTTCAGTATGGTGTGCTCCATTTAATCATTCCAAATCTTATTGTAATGTGTTGCTGACCCCCAACATTGCATAATTGTTGCATATGAAATTAAATGCTCATTTAAACTTTGTTAGTCCAGTTAGCTTTCTGTCCTAGGGCTGTCTTTCTGGTTTTTTTTTAATTGATGCTGTCTCCATTATAGCTTTTCTTCTGCTGATCATATTTGGGCAAGATAAGATTTATTCCTAATCATCCATACCAAATAAGAAATTGGTCAGTTGGTTTATAGAAATAGCCCAATAAAAACAGCAGAAAAGCCAATAGTGAACATATGTAAACACACAAAACCAACACTACAGATTATAGTACAGTATAACCCAGAAATACTACATCCCCAAAGCTATAAAATAAAAAATGTATTCCTTTGTTGTATTACATTTTATTTCCCTTTTTATTATATTGTTATAATAAATACATAATATTGTTTCCATACATCAGTGTCTATATGATATGATTAGAGATAACATCCTAATTACTTAGATAGCTTGAAGTATTGAAAATGGAGGAAAGAAAGCAAAAATTCTATCAATATTAATTACAATTTAGGATGTCAATATTACAGGCATAAAATTATTTAGCTTTTTCTTCCAAAGTTAAATATAACATTAAATAATGTTCTAATCAAAATACAAAATCCAGCCTTCAAATGGGATATTGGATCAATATAAAATTCAGGTTCAGATAATAGATACTACATGGGTAATAAATGGATACTTGAAAACCATATTCAATTTCCAGACAAGGGAATGAGTCTTCATCTTCTTTAATTTTTTTTTTAAGTAAAAATTTTAAGTAAGTAAATATTTTTCTGGAGACATCATTCTATTTAATTGATTAGTTTTGCACAAATATTTTGATTCAAAACACTAAAACATGTATTGAATAAAAGTATCCAAGAAAGGCATGGTTACCTAATAGTTCATCTTGTACCTATAAGGAATGTAAATGTTAACACATGATGAATGAGCATATGTGAATTCAGGTTTCCATGTTTATAAAATTTCTGGACAGAGCTTTACCATAGTTTAATATCATGTTTAATATTTATATTTAGAATTAACTTTTATGCAACTGCCAGTGCAAACAAACATACACATCTTTTCTCATCTCAAAGAGAGTGACAATGTTTCTGCTAGTGCAATTTAATGATTCTTTCAAAATCTTAAGTTATAAGTAAGTGTCCCCAATTCTCATTCTCCGGATACCTAGAAACTTTAATGCCATATATAGTAGTACATATGGCATTAAAGACCCTGAAAGAATTTGAAGTACCAGATAGACTAAGGCATCAATCTACCAGTATGGATAGATTCACTTCAGAAGCAGGTCACTATTGCCTGCTTTACAATATCCAGATATTATCATAACTTTTAACTTAACTAAAATATGCTTATTTTTTCCTTGTCCAAATATGTGTTAAAAATATAAAACCCATGGGTACTAATTATATATTGCATAATGAAGAATTCTGGAAAACTTAATAATTTGCATTCTTTGTTAGCCAAAAATATTATGCAACTCTGCATTTTTTCCCAAAGATCAACGTGGTTATAATTGCTTTTTAGTAACATATTCTCATTTCTGCTATATAATTATGTAATAATATTTTGACTGGCATATGTGCTTGATAGCCTTCCCAGAGTGTTAACCTATCATATATCTCCATAATTAATTAAATACAAATTTAAAAAACATTGTGCTGGGTTGATTCAGAAAAATTACAGATTAAGTTTTAGGTTCATTCAAACATTTAAAATAGCTGAGAAATACTTTACCACTTACCAAAGCATAAAAAAAGAAGATACTAAATTTTCTTGGTTAATGAATTAGCATGAATTTTGTTTTTCACGTGATCCTCCAACCATGATCAGATCAGCTTCTTCTATGTTTGTAGCAGATATGAATCAATAAATTGACTGCATTAATTAATTTATTATTATTTTGTTTTGTTTTTAAAGTGATTGTTTCCTTTTAGAATTATAATTTATCATTGATTCCCTGAAAGGATTTGGTAGCATACAAATTAAATCAGTCAGATTGTCAATGGAATAAAACACGCATGGTTCAGTGGTTCTCAACACTCTGATCCTATGTATTGATTTATTACTTTCTTGACTGAACAGAGCATTCAAAACTTGCCTCAGTGATGAATGTGCATGGAAGCCATCTTTTTAAAATTGCCTATTTTATCTTTTGAACATATAGAGGTAGAAATTATAGAGACCTCGCGTTCCTACCTACTAAGCTCTCCCTAAAATGGACTAAAACATTTTGACACTATCTTTTCCATTGAAGTCACTGTATCATTAGATGGCCTGCTGTGGTTTTCCAGAAAATCCAAAGATTCTTCTCTCCAGTCTTAATCAGTGATTAAGTGGATGAGCAGAATGGAAACAAAAATTGCTTATATCAGACTCATTGTTGCCCAACTGTTGCTTATTTTACCAGCGACCAAACTGATATAGAAATAACCATGGAGAATATAGAAATGACCATGGAGAAGATATGCAGGGACCATTAGCAAAACATGAGCTCAGGCCAGGAAAACAAGAAAGTGTAAGAAATAAGCTTAACATTGCCTGCCTTTAGTCCCTAGTACAGGGGTATCAAACTTACATCATCACGGTGTTGTAACATATCGTGAACCTTTTTCCCTTTCACTAAACTGGGTGTGGGCATGGCCAGCATGTGACACATCTGGCCTCTGGGCCGCAAATTTGACACCCCTGCTCTAGTATAAGAGGACAGAAGAGTAAATGATGTCAGGATTTCAAGACTATGAATATATTGTATATCAATATGGTATAGTTCTAGAATTTCTTATGGTGTCTGTTTCCTTATCAGGCTTACCTCAAAGGTCTGAAAACTAGGCATGTGCGTAGGAACTAGAACTGAACTATGTTCCTTCCTTGAATGTTTTGTCTGACAGAAGCTTCCTGATTTAATCTTTTCGTGACATTTAAATTTTAGATAGAGAGATGGAGAAATAATACACTATAGTATACATAACAGTAATTAATATTTACTTCAAATTTATTTTTGAAGGGATGGGAAAGACATGGTGGATATTGTTACAAGATTGATACAATCCCTCGAAGCTTTGAACATGCATCCAGTGGCTATTACTGTCCTTCACTTACAACAATAACAAGCAGGTAGCTCAATTCACTCAATAAAGACTCTTCTGTGGCATTGAAACAGAGGTAGAATAATTATCTTACAGGCTAAGAGTAACTGAAGACAATTACTCAAATACCATTATTTGATTCAAGATGGAATTGGATAGAATTTGATGGATTTGGATAGAAATCACCTGGTCTGAATTGTTCAGTGACAAGCAGTTATTCACCCATGAAATAATTCTGTCAGTTTACATCTTAAGAGTGCTGATTTTCAAAATCTTCATAATGTGAAATAGCTCAATGCTTGCTAACAATCCTAACAAATATTTCCTTATTCTCTCCCATTGCATCTATTTTATGCAAGTTGTTTACATTGTTAAATTATCTATGAACAACTAGTTTTAAGCAATAAGAATGAATATTCATTTTTGTTTTAACAGGAGAAAATTTCTTACCTTAGATGTAATTCAGTTATGTGACTTCTCTTGAGACAGGGGAAACAAAATTGTTTATTCACTTATATATTAAAGAAAGAATCCATTTGATTAGTCATCTAAACTAAAAAGGGGTCTTTTGATTGAATTAATTTTGTATTGTATTGAGAAATGAGTTTCTTGCTTTTATATGTGATTAGCAATTTGGGGATTATATAGAGTTATGGGCAGTACATCTACCAGTAGAAGTTTAAGTTAGCCTTTTTTTAACTTAAGTCATTCATTTTTGCTGTTGTCATTGGCAGGCATAAAAGACTCAATCTGGATCAGAATTGTAGGGCTGAACGCGCTAAAACGCTAAACATCCTGTTGTCCATAGCACTACACTCCAATCAGGCCCTTATCTAGAGTAGAACTAGATGCAAAAAATAATGGCTAGCTATATATATATGTGTGTGTGTGTGTGTGTGTGTGTGTGTGTGTGTGTGTGTGTGTGT